TGTAACTGCATCAATATATCGAATTAGAGAAACATGTAATATGAGGTATGTGAATTTTTAAAATTGTGTAAAAAACAAATTCACGAGATAAAACATTAAAAATCATGCTGATTAAATCAAATCAGTCATCTCAAGATTTTATTCTTAATTGAGAATCTGTTAATGAACTATGAAAAAGTAAAATGACAAAAAATGTTCGTTCGTTTTTCAGCCTTTTATGAAAGCCGGCAGAAATTTGAAAACTTTGCATAGCGAGATCAAAATTTTGCGTTCTTTCCGAATATGAGTTCAACATTTTTGGCTTAAGAAGAATGAACTTCAGCACGCCAAAACTCACTAAAAGTAGAAGCGTAAACTATAGTGAATGAAAGAGCAAACATTTCTCTATGGAATGGTATGTTTGCTCCAAATAATTTGTCAACAGTGAGTAATTTGGTAAAGTACATCGTGTCAATTTTCTCGATTTCTATGGACGGCTCACTTGCGATGTGTTTTGTAAAATTCTTGTATGTTTCAATATGAGAATATTTTATTACTACATAGATTTGGAAAATTCGAATAATTATGTGATAAACACTATCTTGACTGTAAAAGTACTATTTTTTTTCTATCGAGATAAGACTCTAAGCTTGCTATTATTCATGAGTTTGAATAATGAACGAGTAAAGTAAGACAAATTTAAACCTCTTATAATAATATGTTCATCAAGGGACGAAAAAATTGTTTGTTCGAATTTCTTTTTACTTAATCTTTGTAATAATCTTAAAGGTCATTATTGTTCACTGACAAAGTATATATAAAAGATATTTTAATCCATATTAAAAAAAAATAAATAAATAAGATAATCGGACGTATTTTATTTTCATTTATAAATTATTTTCAGTTCTATTTTATTGACATGGATATTTTTCATATACAACAAACATCGTTTTAATATTTGCAAACAAGAATACCTATTCTATCAATATCACTAATGACAAAAATTATAATAATATATTATTTTAGACGGTTTTATTAATTGTTGATATTTTCAAGGTCAAGATACTTGTCTTGCTTTTTCTGCATGTTAGTAACATTTCCATAATCAAAACAGTCCAATTCCCATCAAATGATAAAATAGTCGCAAAAATTCTTTCTACCACGTAAAAAGTACTTACACTTTAATTCTTTAGTCTTTTGTACTTTTTATTCGATAGCGTGACTTCTTGCGACTACTGTATATAATTAATTTGTTTCATAATTATCATTTAAATGTTGTTTCAATTCACTTGTTGATAAAACACGAAGTGTCCAATGACTAAATTAACTTCGACGACCAAATATAACTGATAATGGAAAAAGTCTTTGTTCGTTGGAAATTGATATAACTATATCAGCGTCATCATCTGATATGGAATGAAACTACTATGTTATTCAGCGCCTAAAGCACTACTATCAAATGTTGTATACAGTATATTATATTTCATTAGAATGTAATGTAGACATGTGAATATATCCTAAATCATTTCGATAGTAGATTGTGGCACAAATCGAAGTGGAACTGATTCTTTTCTAGTATAATCTAGAGTACTGCAACCCGGTCGGGTAACCGAACCGAACCGGACCATGGGTTCGGGTAAAATTTTTCGGGTCGGTTCGGGCGTCGGGTTAAAAAAGAAATTTCGGTTCGGGTCCAAGTGTAAGATCAAACCCGGACCCGAACCGGCAATTAGTGACAGCTCAACTTTTCAAAATANTAATGGCATCTTTTATATCCATACATGAAGAAGCTGTACCACATTTTCCGCTTCTACTTGTATGTACCATTAGAAATATGCAAACACATCACTTTTTAGCTCCGGTCCCTTAATGTCTCAGATTTTTTCGTTCTGGCATGAGCAATCATTTTGGGAGCGTTCCAGTCTTGGTCTGCAGTTCCTTAAACAAAGACTACAGTAGGTTTTCTTTTTAATTGAAAGATTTTTGAAAATTCAGAAATGTATAGGATATCTTTTGAAAAACTTCAGAAAGTTTTTGTTTAGCTACGCAAAAGAAAAGTTGAGTATTCAAAAGTCAGAAATTCAATTTTCGGCTAGAAACAGCTGCTTTTACGAAGCTAAACTTTCACAAGTGGCTCCGGCTCCGCTTATATCTATCTTTCTGTCATAGCATATTTACATACAGGTGTTATCGTACACAGACTTCCTTACTAAGTAGTTACCAAGTATACCCGTGTAATTGACCTAACAGAAACTATTAAAAGAGTATTTAGGAAGTGATTGGAACGACAAAAAGGTATTTGTGCTCAATGATCGTAATGCAGCACGTCATCTTTTACTATTCTTGTATTATCAAATCGATCTGAGCTCAAATGCCATCTCTTATTATCAGACTTTTTTTTATACAGTTTTGTCTTTTAATACGTAATACTTCGATGAAAACTTCTTTTTGTATTCATTTTTCTCATTTTGTGTCAAAATCCTTCTTTTTTCCAGCACTTTCTTTCAAAATTCTCTCTTTCTTGTACTGCTCCACCTCGACGCCTGCACCAAATGCGTTGCATTCATGCATACGAGGAAATCTCGAAGTCAAAAACAAATAAAAAGTAATAGCAAGCATAGTGAGAAAATCCTATTCTCTAAATTGAAAGATTAGCATCTAGAGAAGATTATTACTGCATTCTGTCTGCATCTGCCAATGTGTGACACATTTTTGAAGCCACTGTGGAAAATCGTTCTGCCGCTCCTTTTTTTTTTTTTTTTGTCAAATTCACTAGCAGATGAACGACAAACAAATTACTTTTGTCAATCCAATTGATTATCTCTACGTTTTGTTGAAGAATACCTAGATCGATCACAATTACATTTCTACCTGTACAGATTTAAAAAGCACTTTTTTGAGTTTCTTAAAACCAACTTTAATTTTGTGTCCTTTGAATTATTCGAAAATGCCGTCACCCGATTTTTGGCAGATTTAGAATCTCCCTCTCCCCGTAGAAATGGTTCGTTTGTGAACAATCACTTGTGAAAAATGCTTTTTTTTCTAATGGGTATTGAAGTATATAACAAAGATGTTCGCTCATTGCGCCATACGTCGTAGGACGGTACGAGCATGTTGATATATCTGTCATGGTTGGGTAGGATCTCGATAGTTTTTCAACATGTTTGCTTCTGGTTACGTCACGGATTAACGTGAGCTTAAGAATATTTCTTCATCATACCGAAAGCAGCTCCATCGTATTGCACATCTCAATCTCGTGGTGTTACTGTATATGTAGGACAGTTCTCTCTTCCATGACATCCACATTACACCCTAACACCCAGATATCTGAGAGAAATGGAAGCACATTTTAACCAAGAAATATCTTACTTATGTAAGAATTCAAGTTAGTACAGAAAATGAAGAAGACTTTGGCGTTATATAAATATCAAAATAGTAAGATCATATTCAAGACTAAAAATACTTCATAGGATTTGGTGTACATTGACAAAAGAGAAAAAAGCTTTTTGAACAAAATTTTATAATAGAAATTCTCTTAAAAGTAGATCTTCTTTCTGAATGTATCAACAACCAGTATTCACTTTTAGCAAGCTTTCTTTTTTAAAAACTCTTTATTCAAGAATATGCTTTATTCACTATTTGTATGTTATTTCGTTAAAGCTCTTCACATAATACAAGAAGTAAAGCTTCAAATACACAAAGTGATTTATGAAGTTTGGAATTATTGTCTTCAACAATGAATAGCTTAAGCTGTCTGTTTATTGATAAATGGATTACTATGCTTCTAATACACTAGCACTTATTAGATATTATTTATTCAATATAATTATAATTACTGAAGAGTTAAACGATTATAAGCAACCATTAGAAACCGTGAATGCATGCCAAAGTAAAGGCTGGTTCAAAAGTTTCAACTCTTCTATGTAAATGGATGTTATCTATAGGAAAACCTATACAGGTAAATGACTTGTATACACAGCTTTGTAGGAACAGATAAAAGATATCATTTGAAAAAAAAATAGCTCGAACTGCATCGACCTCATAAAAAGTTATGGTTTCTTTATTCTTCATAACTAAATATTTTACATCTTACATTTTTTACAAACACAAAATATGCGTAAAAATATTTAGAAATTAATATTTGGCTCGACTGTGATCACTCAGACATTACAAGAATATTTTTGTTTTTGCAGAAAAATATCAAATGTAAGATACTTAGCTATGACCAATAAAGCAAACGTAACTTTTCACCACTTCGATAGTATTCGAATTATTTTCTTTTCAGATAATAGCTTTAATCTTTTTCTATAAAGTTGTATATTTCAGTCAACTATCTACGCATGTATTCATATAGATAACATCAACTTTACAGAGAGTGGTTGAAACTTTTGGGCCAAAATTTAGAAAGAAGATCCAGTTTCAAGTGAAGCTTTGCTTTTATCAGTCGGCTACTATTGGATGAAGATATATAACTGACATACTGAATTTACAGCTGAAAAACAATACGAAAAACAAACTATTTTTTTAAATTGAACGAAACGATATGCGTTTAGTTCTTCAGTTTTGCCATGAATAATACATTATCATCTTCGAATTACTTTCTGGAACATAGAGTTCTAAATGAAATTGCTTTTTTTGCATTGCAAGACAATGAATACAATCATGAAATCATGTGTTTAATTAAACCTATAATCTATTTGTGTACTGAGCAATACTTCTTTTTTCAACTAAAAAGGTAACAAGATTGTTAGATTCGACACACGTGCCGTTATAGATTTCTTTTTCTTTCTCAAAAATCTTTATTTTACTTTTCTTTCACCTTTTTTTGCGTTCTTATTAATTACGACAAGCTGTTCGTCGCACCATAGAACGAGAGAAACAAATATTATGGTCAATGCACGTTGTCAAACGTGTTATTTTATTTGGTGACAAAAATTGTAAAACGCAACATTTTTGCAAGGGTTTCAAACAACTTAAATGCCTGCTCTTTTGAAATAAAATAAATTACGAATTATATCGACATGGCTACAGCTAACAGAACTCGAAAACTTTGTTCTCAGTGTAACAGCGATGATTCTACATTTACATGTAACGGATGCCATCTATCACTCTGTGTCAAACATCTGGATGAACATCGGCAAAAACTTAACCAGGAAATCGATCTTATTGGCAAGCAAAATGACTCACTCAGAGAAGAACTAAGTCAACGAAATATTGATATACAGCTACTGGCGCAAATCAATACGTGGGAAAAAGAAACTATTGGCAAGATTCAATCCATTGCCGAAACAGCTCGAGTTGACTTGAAAAAATTAACTGAAGAATCAAAAAGCCGATTGATGGAAATGATAAATAAACTTTTTAGTGAACTTCGTACAAGTCGAAAAAATAATCAATTTATAGAAGATGATCTGCATCGATGGACGAAACAAATTGAAGAATTAAAAAGAAAATTGCATGAATCATCTAGGATTGAACTACTTCGGGAGGATGATCCAACAACTATTATTCGTCTAATAAAGATAAAAACATCGGAAAAGATGGGACCAAATCAAACGAATTCTTTTTCTAAAAATGAAAGTCGTCCTGAGAACAAACTAAATAAAATGGTTCCATCTAGTATATCATCGTCAGGTAGTTCTACTGCATTAAAAAAGTTGGAATTATCAGCTAATATGAATGCATCATCATCTCAATTCAACTTTTATCCATCTCTAACGTTTGGTTTTAATCAATCTAGCAAAAACGATATACGAAAGTTATTCGAAAGCCTCATGAGACTCGCTCCGATGGATAAACACGGACCAATGAGTGGTCGATGTGAACCTCAAACTGCTCAAATGGAAAGATTTCTTTTTGAAATATTTGGTTTCAGAAATATTCCAGGTCAAGATATTGTTCAAGGTGTAAAGTCATTTAAACTGGACAAACCTCCCCATTATTTGAATCCACATACAGAGATTCACTTTCCGTCTAATACTGCCAATTCATTTGCCATGTCTGTACAAGAAATTATTGATTGGCAACGTTCATATAAAGTTTATGCTGACAAAAATATTAACGGTATGAATAAAGAATTTCTTAGGCGCGCTCTACAAGGGAAGGGTGACAATGGTGAAGAAGCCTTTCGCATGAAATTTGTCGTACGAATTTCAACGTGTCCTATCTTGATGGAATTCGACGCTAAAATCATATCTCGTGACCTAAAGGAAAATTGGCCTAATCGTATTAAACTTGTTTCGGTCACGGGTATTGATTTTGCTGGTCGAAAACATGATATAAATGACATTCTTTACTATGTAACAAATTGGAGAGAAATTTATGAGATTGATCGTAAGAAAGATGAGCCAGCATTACGTAATGAAAGGGATTTTCGTCGAAAGACAGGAGGCCCAGCAGGCGAACTACATCAAAAACGTCTACTGGACGATTTAACGTATATGGCTAGGCTACGACTACGAGCATGCGATGCAGAAGGTGTTCAGATTGTAGTTGAAACAGGTATTGGACTTGGAGTCTTTTCTGGTGAGCATATTGGAGTCGATGAAACAGTAAAAATAACCTCTGCCATAGCTATTCGAGCAGTACTCGAACAAGATGGACCTAGTTATAAAAATATTTGTGGAATCGTATTTTCTCTACCAATTATCGCTGTAGAGACACATGCCATAGGCATTGGTGACACTTTTAGTGAGTTTATTGAACATTTCCAGGAACCACCGTATAATGGTCCTATACCTGTAATGATTGCTGATCAAGATATGCATCGATTAACTGTAGCTATTGCTCGTCAGGGCTTCGTTGTTTCTCAATTAAATCCTGCTGATTCACATGGTGTTTTCGGTGAATATTGGCAAAATCGAGGACCCGCTGTAGAAGAAAAATTAGCTTTGACAACAGTCGGTTTACTTGTACAACATCATCTCATCAATCCACACGTACTTGATACAAATAACTATCATCTCATATAATTTCATAAACAAATACGATTCACTATGACATTTAGCTAGTTAAAATATTAGTCAATTATGCATGTACAATTGTGAAGTTTGTTTATAATCAAGCTGTTCCAATCTAAGATTTCTTTTAATATACGAGACAAGAATGTACTTATTTTATTTTAAATGAATGCTAGTTTTTATATTTTGATACAATATAGTATGAAACATATGCATAAGTAAATAAATGATTTAAGTCTGTTCAAATTTATCACAAAAAAGAAACTAATTCACAAAAATTTCGTTTAATAATTGTACAATTTCCATCAAGAAACTAATACCAGAGAGAAAACAGACGACAATTTTTCGATTAAAAGAACTTTACCTTTGGAATATTTTATTGTAAAAATGTTCTACAAATGATTGATGTATGATACGATGATTCAGAATTCAAATAAGTCATAGTCGAAAGCTGAAAATTAGAATAAAAATACTTTTCAATGACTCTAAGATATTTGATTTTTCACTTAGTTTCAGTTATCATACTAAGCAAAGTTTAAAAGGATGTATTCAACACAATATTTTACTTATTTCTTTCTGAGCTGTACAGATTGTTCATCTTATCTCTTTTCCACTATTTACTGATGCAGATGTATTCGTAGCAAAATAACCAAAATGTTATATACAAGCTATGCTCCAAATGCAGATAAATGATTACGAAGGAAATCTTCTAGCATAAATATTAATTAACATAAAAAAATGAACGTGTAACATAAGTTTAAACATTCTAGAAATAATTCCATTTCAACAAAAACAAGAATCAGTTATATGTATGTCTGATTGCAAGCATTTTATCTTCCTTTCATAGCATTTTCTCGATAATCTTCAATCTTAATATTTGCGACAGTGAAAAAAATTATACGCTTGAATATATACAAACAAATGCAGAAGTCAATCATTACATATAACTATTTTCCATGAAGAAAGAAGTAGAATAATCCGGCTTTCGATTACCAGGTGATATGCAGTGATGCCCAAAGATAATTTCTTCAGTTCAATATCTTTTCTACAACCAAAACTAGCTGTAGCTATGGATAGAAAGTCGACTGGATTCAAAGTTTTATTGCTCAATTACTTGAACTTTGCCGTATACAAACCAAAAGGGTCATTGTATGTCACAATGTAGTTTGCATCCTATTGTAGGGGTAATTCGAGGTAAACAGCTGCAAATGACTTCCCAAGAATGTCTCCATGGCTCATAGTGCCGAGCCTTTAACAAAATACTTTGGAACTTGTGTTGAACAATTTATTCACTGAGCTATATTGGGCATTTTTGTGTAGAAGCTTACTTGATTTGATGAGACATCGATAAATTATCTGTTTTCTTTTTAGCAGTTTGTAATTTTTAATGTAAATATAATACTAAAAAAAATTAAAATAGAACTGGCATAGTTCTGCCAACCGACCATTAGAATAATTTCTCCTGAAACAATAAAAATATTAAACTACAAATACACAAATTTCAATTTTTCAATGTCAAATCTCGTTAATTTTATTGTTTAGTAGAAAGAAAGACATCTTCGAAATCTATCAATAGTGCTTTTGAATATTGAGAAAAAGTCTTTTGATAGTCGAGAGTATTTTATTCAAAACTAGAACCGTTCACTTTTTAGAAGTGATGAATCAAACGATTTTTAATTACAAAGTAAAATTTCTTTAATCTTTTCTGGATACGAATTAGAAAGTCACCATTCATGAGTTTTACCTCACATGACAAAACAAATATCTTGGTAGAAATGTTCATGCACTTTTATTTGTTTGATAACTAAAATTCAAGTATCGAAGCTTTTCAAATCTCACTAACATAAATGAAAATCGATTTTGATCATTTATTTCCTATTATTAAATATCTTTTATTGATCTTCATACTATTCTTTGCTCAAATCATAATATATTCATTTATAGTGTTCTACTTTATTAGTTTTTCAATATATTTCTGATTTCTTGCGTTTTTTTCTCATGTAAGTTAGCAGTAGCAATGACACTGTTCTTTATAAAATACAATGTATAATTCAAATGCATAACGTAGATTCAATTCAATTACAATCAAATAAAACATATTTGTAACATTAAAAGTCGACAATTGCAGCATTTTCTTTCATTGGTAGCTGAAAAGACGCAACGAAGGTATTACTACCTCATCAATTCGCTACGTTAATGATAAATCAACATAATTTAATTGAAAATAAAAATTATTAATCATACTGTTAAATTATCTAAACGAATGCCATTTTTTCTCTTCTAAAACTATAGTTTGATTATCTTTTTTTTCAATCAAATTTTGTTCATATGTAAGTATCAGACAGAATGAATGATTATTATGCATAAAAAATGACACGAAGTATCTGACGATAGAAATAAATCCAATTTGACAAGCTCAATAGTCACTCTTATTCTTACTGTATCGATTCTAATTAAGTATTTTTTTAGCTTGAAAAAAAAAACAGCAACATGGCATTGACAAATATGTTTTCTCACATATATTACTTGCATTTGTAGGGATGTAAAAAAAATATAAACGCAGATGTGTGAGCAACAACATATTCGCAGTTTTGCTTCTTTTCTGCGTTCTTATCAACGTTGTACACAATGTGATGTAATACTCACATGGAGTAACGAAATTTTAAAAAGTTGATTTACTACTTCAAATAGCACACGTTACTTCAATATGGCAACAGGTAATAACATCAAAAAACCTTGTTTTAAATGTAACAAGGGTGGTGCAACATTCATCTGTGATGGATGCCACCAAGCGTTTTGTCTAAAGCATGCGTCTGATCATCGTCAAGAACTTTCTCAGCAAATGGACAATATTGGACAACACCATGATATCCTAAAACGAGACATTGATCACCAGAATATTAACAAAACATTATTAAATCAAATTGATAAATGGGAAAGAGAATCTATTGAAAAGATTCGATCTACTGCGGATACAGCTCGAATTGATTTAAAGGAATTAACTGAAGGATTAAATAAACGATTAAATAATTTGATGAATACATTATCACATGAACTTCGTTCAAATAGAGAAAGTGATGATTATAAAGAAGATGATCTTGATCGATGGGTAAAACAACTTGAAGAATTACGAAAGGAGCTTGAACAACCCTCAGATATCGAAATAGTAAACACTGAATGGTCACATTTATCTTTGATAAAGATCAAAAAAAGAATCGCGCTTAAAAATGATGTTACCAATGTGTTACTACAAAATGCGACACTTTCTGTAGAAAGATTTAACAAAACTATTGGACGTATCAAATTATCAGAGGATAAACTGTCTGTAAGAAGTACGTCAAAATTAGACGACAGTGCCAGATTTTCTAGCAGTTGTGGAATTATCCTGTATTTATCCGGCGTTCATCATTTACGATTTCGCATAAATACATCTCGTGACAGTTCAGTATTCTTTGGCATTATTAAATCATCTGACATTATGACTGACCAATCCGCACGATTGGAGTCTGCATATGGGTGCTGGAGTCGTGGGGGCTTTGTGACGAAAGGTGTATATGCTACGAAATATGAAAAATTGGAGACACGATCGAATGATGAAGTAACAATCACATTAGATTGCAAGGCACGAAAATTTAGCTATTTACATGAACGAACTAACAAGTGTGTTGCGATATCAGTAGATGAATATGGTTGTCCTTTACCATGGAACCTAGTGGTAACCTTATGGTATCCTGGCGATAAAATCAAAATACTAAGCTGCTAAGAGTTGCTGCTTGAGGTGTATGTTCAATAAAACCGCATAAAAGTTTTTTTTTGTTATCAAAATTTTTCTACGTCGATATTATTCTTTATGTTAACACAAATTCGATTGTCAATGTTCATCTACGTTTTACTAAGAAATATTTTTTTATTTATAAATACTTTCACTGCTATTGAGACAGTATTAGAGATGTGTGAGACCACAGGAAAAGAAAATTGCTGACACCCAAGGTCTCAGCTATGAGAAAAATATTATCCCAGATGGAACTATCGATTATAGTTAATCATTCTATGGTTTCAAGTGAATTATCTTATAACTCATGTCAATCAGGATAGAATTCAAGAGAGATGATCCGAAAAAGTACAAATGGTCGATTTAATTAAGAAAAACGAGCATCGAATAATTTTTTGGATATGATACGAATAAATCCTGGAATAGTTATCTTTAGACCGAAAAATATCTTATCAGGACCAAAAAAGCTTGGTTTCGCACATCAATCAACTATAAATAAGCACTGATCTGTTAACTTGGTTTAGGAGTCTTCGTTGAAATTATTATTGACCTATTTAACATGTTCTGCATTCTTCTTTTTCAACGAAAATGATACATCATTTTAATTATCATAAAATATATATGACTGATATTTTCATTATTAGTATAAATTAGTGAATATTTTTCATTCATAAATAACATACACATGCAGCAAATAAATAAAATAGAAAATTTCAGATCTTAAATGTAAACTTAATTTACTAATAACGATCAACTCAAGTAAATTTATATTTCTTTATAAATGTATTTGAATTTATTTTCAGTTTATTTATTAAAGGTAGTCAACGTTATTAGAAGAAACATATCGTGTTTACACAATGCTTTATTTTTCTTGCGCAATTTTAACTTTTTCTGTCGTCATATCATGGTTTCTTCCAACTTTGTTCTTTTCTTCTGCCTTGATAAAGCGGCGCAAAAAGAAAAACAATCCATGTGATTACACGAAATATTTTTGAGAGCGTAATAAGAACAATAGCAAATACTAATTGAAAACCTCTTTTTATTTCCTTACATGGTAAGTTAACCAATTTTTTTTTTATCTATAACTATTGAATAATTTTTTAGTCTAAAAAGCCCAATATTAAAGTTGACATAAAATCATCTGAATCTATCGTTCCCAAAGAATCATCTCTGTTTCCAAAAGAACGTCAAGGCACGTGTTCCATATGTAGTGATAATAATCTTACTTTGGTTACTCTTTCAAAACGATGTCAACATGCAGCAGGTTGTTGTATTCCATGTCTTACACAAGATATTTCTAACAGCATAAATGCAAAAGGTATTCATCGTTTTGAATGTCCCATGCCTACATGTAAAGTGGAGTTTGAACCATCGGAATATTATTGTTTACTCGATGCTCGATTAACTGCTTTAGTAGATAAACTTTTATTAAATCGATTTCTTGAATCAAATGAAGAATTTCGATGGTGTAAATCAAGAAAAGGATGTGGAGCTGGACAACTTGTATCAAATTATAAAGATTTACTTGGGTATATAATATTTCAAGATTGATTTATTCATTGTATGAACTTATCTTATTTTTTTATGTATAGGTATTATACATGTTTTGCATGTCATCAACCATTATGTTTTCGACATGCAATTGAATGGCATACAGGTTATACATGTGATGAATTTGATAGAGAACGTGATCTCAATCCTGATTTAGCATCAGATGTAACTGTTCTTGCTTTTACAAAACAATGTCCAAATCAATCATGTCGTACACCAATTATGAAGTTTGAAGGATGTGATGTTATGACATGTTGTCGATATGGAACGCATGCGTGTTCAGAAGCAAAAGGTAAATGTGATCATGGTGGACAAAATTTTTGTGGACAAAAATTTTGTTGGAAATGTTTGGGAAAAATTGATATTGATAAAATAACTAGAGCATACATTAGACATTGTAATCCAAATTGTGAATATTCTACACTTAATAATTAAATGGACATATGAAAAAAAAATGTTTGAAAATTGCTTTAAATAAGATCTATTTTTTTTTATAACTAAGTTCATTTTGTTCGAATTTGTATATATTAAAAGAACAACTAGTTTTTGATACACTTAAAATAAATAATAAACATGACTCATTTAGCCTTGTTTACTTCGTATGTCTTACCATTGTTCACATGGTTATATCCAATTTTCCCATTTTTTACAGAAAATCAATGTAAAGATCTCTGTCATTTTTACTACACATGCTTAAAAAGAATTTCATTCTGCGTAGGTTGGAGTGATTATGTCTTCGCATATGTGTTCGACGAGTTATCTCTTATAGATCGATGCGTTAGGTATTAGAGTAAATACCTCATAGCGTTATCGGACTCAGTAGATGGGGAGTTGCTTTTTGAGCGTGCATCATTGAATGAATTTAGACAGTCCTGGGCGCGGAAGGAGTTTTCAATTCGTTGTTTAAGAGTTTCTAAGAGATATGTTGAGAACATTTCCGTCTTGGAGAAATGCGTGAAGTGGACTTCAGACAACTCCCCCACAATCTCAACCCCTTACTATGAACTAGAAGAGATTGAACTCCTCCAAAATTTNTCCATCCGGTCCTGTTCTGTCCTGTGTGTAACCCCATCCTGCCGCTCAGCAGGGCAGGACCGGAATTTTAGTTTCATCCTGCCCTGGTCACCGCACCGTGTAATCCTATCCTGCCGCTCAGCAGGACAGGACAAAAATTTTAGTATCGTCCTGTCCTGCAGGACAGGACAGGACAGGATACAGGACGGCCGCACCGCCCCGTCCTGTGCTCATCTCTGCTGCAAAGATAGAATCGGTACCGATTACTGACTGGTTCGGCTTGGTCTAATCTACTCTGTCTAGTACCGATACCGGCCGTCAAAAATTCAGACAAGTTCCATGTCGAAAGTCATTGGCTGTTAACATGAGTGTACTATGAAGTTTCCAGAACCTGCTATAATTATAAAAAGATGTAAAAAGAATAAAGAAAGACGGAAAAGAAAAGGAAGAACTGACTTTTCTTTCTGTTGGCATGTTGCCTTCAAGTGCACAATTAAAATTGGCAATAGTGTCGACTTTTTTCTTCATTTTTTACGATTTGATGAAAGAATAATTAGAGGAAAAAAAATAATGACATACAGAAGTGAGTAAACATTATGTGAGACTTTCTCGCCTTTTCAGATAGTGTGTTGCTGAGACATTATAATTTTCGTGGGGAAAAGACAAGAAATTTTCCAATACGAGATTTTTATTCGTAATTAGCATATGGACAATAAGGATTCCAAAACATCATCTATTGAACAATACGAGCAAAGCCCAGTGAGTTTTATTATGCTTGTTAACTGGGTGAAATTGATCCAGTATGTGAACTACTGTTTTCCGTGATAAAGTTGAACCAAATGGCGATACAGCATTGCATGCTGCTACTTGAGTTGGTCATAGTTTTGTTGCTGCATTGCTTTTAGCAAATGGTTTTTCACGTATAACACTTAATGATGAAGGCAAAATAGCTTATGAAATAGCTTCCACAAATGAAATACATTCTTTATTTCATCGTCCAACGAATGCATTCTACTCGAGATTTGTCGACAGCAATGTGTGCGAAACATTAAGTATACTTGATCTTAATGATGACACAAATAATCAAGCCGTTTTCAACAATGCCAATGATGCTATACAATCACAATATATGCCTCGATTTAATCGAATATTCAAACTTCTTTGGAACATTATCAAAACTATAAGAGAAGCACGCAGTGTTGAAATGCTTGAAAAAATTGTTAAAAATTTAAATAGTGTGACTACAAACAAAACAGGTGATCAAATGTTATTACAGAACGCATTCGAGGATTTTTTTACGAACTAAGTATATAAATGGTCTAATGCATTTATATACATTACATGATCTTCAAAAGAAACTTCAAAATCATTCGAATGCATATACAACATTGGCATATCTGCATTTAGCATCGATGCCTGAACGTGTATATCAAGGTGTCTGCTATCGAGTGATAAAAATGTCATTCCTCGACGTTAGCCGATATTATTACGTCATGAAAATGCCAAATAATGTCATTGAAACACGTAATTTTTCATCGACATCCAAACGGAAAGCTGTATCAATTCTGTATTCTGCTCATGGGCAACGGAGTGATGATAATAACTATGATATTTTATTGATATTTGAAGTTTCGAATCCAAGTAAAACAACGATTGATCTGACAGATATTTCAGATCGTTTACCGCCTATATCACAATATGAAGACGAAGAAGTACTTGTTTTTATCTTATACGCTATTTCAAGTAGTAAATGTGACTGAAGCGATAGAGTAAGAACTCTTCTAAACTTATTTACGAAATGTACTTGTACCTGAGCTATTTCTTATCATTCTTTTAAAAGAAAAACCAAAGTATGTTGAATAAAATGTAGGTTTCTATAGATGTACATGGTACAAATAGTTCATATAGTCACTGCCGCAGCTATCTTACACTCTGAGCAAAAGTTCTTTTGCTGTATATGACCGAGGAAATAATATTGGATAATTCGCTATATAAATTCAAGGCATAAACAAACGCTCAAAAATATTCTACTCGTCAACAGAGTAGATATCGATGAGAGTATGGGTGTGGTTCTGCTATTCTTACATGCACACGCGTACCATGGATCTGCTAAGATCGAACAATTGAATTCTGGCGAAAATCGATGATATTCAACTGCCAGAACCGATAAACATTTTAGCAATTGGATTGTGATATGACTTTTGTAGGGTCTTACTGATCTTTTTGGATCTGTGATGAGTTGTGCATGTCCTAACAAGATTCGTTGTTCGAACTATATCGATATTTAGCTAAGAAAATGTATAAGCTATGATTGTTGAAATTTGGCATATTTCCTGTGAACTCTCGATAAAATTTCAGAGTGTGATTAGACATAGTTTCATATTAAGATTAGATAGAATTCTACGAAGCTTGTAGAACAACAAATAAATACAACAATCATCAAGATACTTTTTCGTTTGCTCTACACAAAAAAAACACATATCATGTGACGAAAATCTATTCTTCCATGATACGTTGAGCTCCTATTTCCAATAGATTGAAATAAAATGACTATAAGGAAACTTTCATGGAAACTTATTTCAGCGCTTTGAGAAATAAACATCGAATATAGATTTGATTAATGGAAAGAATATAGAAATGAACTGTATATTTTGTGATTTGTATTGGTTTCGGTGAGAAAATTCATTTTAATATGAAAAACACATAGAAGAGTGTGAGAGTAAGTGATGGTATTGGTGTAGATTAGGCTTTTGTCTCCACCAACACACCTTATCACTTTGAAGTGCAAAAATATCGGTCTATTATCGAGCTTTATTCAGCAAAAGCATACATATTCGTGTGATATACAATGATATATGCTTGTTCTTGACTATAGACTACATTTAATAGCAATACTGAATCGAATTTGGTCCGAAAAACCCTTAGTATCTAGTTAGACAATTTTATCAATTCAAAAAGAAACAAGAATATATTTAGTGGTGTCTTTGAGACAGTTAATATAGAGTCAGATGAATGAGTATTGTATAGTTATATAGAGTTCAATCTTACGGACTTTTCCATTATAGAACTGATAAACACAAGGCAATATTAGAAAGTCCCATTCTTTGAATAAGAGTCGCAAAATATTTGTCGTTTAAAATTCTACTGAAAAATCATGTTACTTTCAAAAGAAATAATATGTCACAAAGACTATTATATAGAATTAAGTTGAACAAGACGAAAAATAATTTTTATCTATTCTTTATGGATGATGTCATCGTATTATGCATATAATCGCTGATCATCGATCGAATGAAGAAAAACAATCAGTTGTTCTATCACATGTCTATATTTTTCTTATTCTAAACCAATAAAGACGACGTACACTCGTTTCTGTATTTTACATATCAATATACATCATGTTTGTCGACAGTGAAAAAGTGAATACAAAAAGAAAAATTTTTCAATTATTTTTTGTTATATCTTTCTTGTTTTTAGAAAATTTCGATATATTCAGAAGTAACAACAACAAATATGAATGATGATCATACAATAGCACTCGAGATTTTACGTTATTCAGTCAATGAACTACAACGAAAACAAATCGATATTCATCGACATATTGGCCAACTATCAGCTGTAAATTATGTTCTACATATAAATTTATTTTTTTCTTTTTAATTATCTATTTTCTATTGCTTAAGGTTATGTCTGATTTTGAATATCATATGGCACAAGTACGTAATATATGTGAATCATCGAATAATAATAATAATGAGTTATGTCAATCTTTATTATCTCATCTTAAATCAGTTATAATTGATACACGATCAGCTTTAGTTACTTCAACAACAAGTACAAATGATGCACAACAAGTTCATGATCTTGTTCATCGTCTTTATGAAGAAAATCAACGAATAGCAGATCACATCGATAATTTACTAAAACAAGATCAATTAGATATTGAAATAAAAGATGAAAAAACACCAGAAGAAGATCATATTCAAAAAGCCATTGAACATATTGAACTTGCTTTAGAACAAAACATTCGCGAACAAGAATATATTAATAAAGAACAAGAACATTTTGAAAATAATCAAAAAACTATTGAAACATTTATTCAAACAACTGAACACTTACATGAAGAAGCTCTAGAAAAATTACGAGAACATATTAAAGTATTACGTGAACATAATCAATCATTAAAACAATATAATGAACAGATTGATACACTTACAAAACAATTACCACAAACTTTATTCTTATCCGCTCATTAAAAACATTTTTTTCTCTTGTTTTTTTAATTTTATTTGTTTCTATATGAATTATACCACTAAATCCAAGCATTTATTCTATGATGTTTATCTACCATCCATTTCAAAATATAATGTATTTCACTGTTTTTTAAATAAGTTTTCATAGGAGCATCATAAAGACATACAGGTTTCACCATTTAATAGAGACGGCCTGATGTTATCGAAATCTATCGAAATAGGATCGGCCAGCTATTGACCAATTCGATGAGTTCTTGGTGAATCATTTTCGAAAATGATATTCTGAAACTGTTTTTCTTTCAATTTAGACTTTTAATAAAGACTACTCGACAGAAAAAATTCTTCACTTTCGATCTACATAATGTCGACATGCCATGCTTGTTCCGTTCCAGAGTTATAAGACTCTCGATTTCAGCCAATTGACTTGTGATCATCTGGAAGAGCAGCTTTAATATTTCTCAAATCCTACAATCAGTCTCTATGCAGCAAAAGAGTCAATATTTCAAAAATATTGTGATAACAGTGCCAGATCATTCGAAACTTAAAAACAAATATTACCATTCGACTGAACATGATCAATCACGCTTGTCCAGTTACTTTTCTGAATGATTATAGGTTAATAGGCGGAAATGGAAGATCTCAGGATGATTCTTATAAATCTGGAACAGAATACGCTAGGAATGTCGGTCTTGTGAAGATCGAAAGAAAAGTAGCTTTAGAATATCGTTTCCGAAAACCTCCAATAAGGACTGACTAGATTGGCCAATTTCCTTAGAGTTTCTTTCTTATGAATTCGTAAATATCGAACTTTCCTAGAAACTATCTGCTCATGTCTTAGTAATTTCGGAAATTTCTTTTCTTCGAAATTTGAACATTGCTGATTAATTATCGTTATACTATGGGTTTAAAGAGTCAGTAATGAGTGAATTTGGAGCTGCGGAGTAGATTTATATACTTTGTTTGTTGACGAGAACTTTAGTTAAATACATGAATATTATAACTGGAAACATCCATGAATTGTTGCTTCAGTTATGATAATGACAGAAGATGATCAATCGATTGTAATTCAACTATCACTGTTTTAGCATATTACAAAAAAACGATCAAAAATTATTATTCTATTAATTTTAATTCTTAAGAGATAACACAAAGAAAAAAACAAAAACGATCGTATTCTATTTAAAATTTAATTATCTACATGAGAATAAAAAGAATACTAATCAAAGGATAATAAAATAATGAGTATGTCATAAATTTCGTTGCTTGATTAGCAGAGAATGGATAGAAAAAATCGGCTGGTAAACGAGCATTTGGTGATGGTATTTGGCCTTGTTCAATAACAGGTGCGTCTGATATATCTTGAAAAGTAACACTTTCCGTAACAAGTAATGTTCCACTTAATAAACTTGTCGATGAAATTGTCTATTAAAGAACACAAATATAAGAGAGAAAAGAAAAGAATGCAAAATGATTCAAATCAACGTTTTCTTATTCTTACTTGATAATGAAAGATAACTGCACTCAATAGTGATTGTGGATTACTAATAGAACCAATCTTTGTATAAGCTATTTGAATATCTAATTTAACATGACATGAACCATCCGAATTTGAATATACTTTAATACCATTTTGACATTGACGAATGTTTGGAGATCCTATTTCGGATGTACAAGATATAGCAGGTAACCAATCCCTAGTAATATTTGTCGCATCAGGATTACTATACGCAGCTACATATAAATCAATGGAATCAATAGGTATAAGTAACTTATAGAGATCAGAACAGTTTGTTGGAACAGATGGTACACTGTATTCAAAGAAAAAAACAAAAAAAAATAGAATTGGTGTCATTAAATTAGAAATTTCAACAAAATAGTATTAAACAGATTTTTCGCTTTTTTTTTGTACATCTTACAGAGCAGAAAAGATATTCCCACAATGAAAACAATATCTACGATAGTCAAGTTTTCAAGCTCTTTCCGTTGATACTAATGCATATTCCAGAACAAATTGCACTAAATCTTGATACCTTTTGGCTTATTTTCTAAGCATAACAAATTTTCTTTATTTGCTAAAAAATGGGAAAGGGAAAGATAGTCGAGAGATACATCATAAAATGAATAAAAGCTTTTTTTTTTATTAATAACAGCTTTAACTGAGACAAATAAGCTAAACCAATAAAAAAAGACGAAAGACACCATTAGCAAACTGAAAATCACTACAAAGGAGCATATGTTTTTCTATTACATGCAGCACATGAACGAGAATTTCTTTTCAAAAAATTAATTTTGTTAGAAAATTGGAAGTAAGAAAAAAGTATTTTGCCAATGTAGTATCAGTATGTGAGGGATACATGAAGATTCACACTTACATCGTACTACCACAATAATTAGAAGACCTATAGTTAATTTATGACCTGATATTCTTTTATTTTTCATACAAGTGAAAGCTTTTGTTTTTTTTTTTATTATGAATTTCTCCACTACTTTTCACGTTGACCAATTTCCATAGACCTCCAAAAGATAGAGAATACGAAACTCTATAAAACTGTCCATTTGATTTTTCAAACAAGTTTAACTTGGTTGACGTCAAATTTAAAAGATTCACGCCTATTCATTCATTCAACTGTGCGATTTCCTATTCGCTGCTAACGCTTATTGGTTTTTGTAAAACCAATGCCAAAAGTAAATTATTTAATAGCAATACATAGAGAATTTTGTTTTATATGCTTCAATAACCTTTTCAAGGTTCTCGAGAGTTTTATTTACGAGAAAAAAATTTGAAACTGACAACTATCGGTATTTTTTAATGCATTTCAAAAAATCATCTTTTCGAACGACAGATTTGTTCTATGAAAGATTTTTTATTAGCTATTGGGTATAGAATTTAATTCAGAATAAAACTAGAAGGGTTTGTGACAATTGTTCGCAATGCTGAAAAATAAAATCGACAAAAAACATTTCTTAGTATTTTAAAGAAATAGCTGAGAGAGGTCCAGAAAATAACTAACAATCTACTCAAGAATAAGAAAGATTAGATATGAGTAGAAATAAAAATGTTTGAGAAACTTCCTCTAATTGAATATCAACACTTACACAAGATTAAGTAGCAACTGCCTTAAATATTTCACATAATTCATACAGTTTTTCATTCTTTAGTAGCTTCTGTCTGCTGCAGTTTTCGCTATTCCATAATAAATATATTTTTTGTCGTTTCTAAAGATTTCAATAAATTCAAAATGTGAACGTCAAGACTCAATTACCGTTCATTGGTTAGAGATCATTTAAGAATCCATTCTATGATGTAAATCTTCAAGTTTCACATGCTATTTTCATTCTCGTGCAATACTGTTTATGATTTAATCACATGTCTGCAAATTGAACTTTGCGGAAAGTGAATATTATGACTCACTCTTCTGTCAAACATGCCACTAATAGTCGCTTTCCTCTAACAGAAAAAGGACCTTTTCTGATGTCTTCGCCTCTTGTACTTCAAAACTGTTACTTCCAAATGTTTTCTCTAAAATTCTGAAACATGCACCCAGATATGCAAAATTTTAACGAAAAATTTCGTAAGATAGTTGAAATTTCTTTGGAGCATTTATTAAAAAAATTATCATCAATTTTTTTTTGTTTTCTTGGCCGTCGAGATTGGACGACTATGTAGGCGTTCTTCTTCTAAATTTTGTACCGATATGAGAAAGTTGTTTGAGAAAAAAATCGACATTTTTGTAAAGCTTGAAATTTTTTCATCTTTAAGCATAAGAGGATTTCTTTTCCGTAATGAAGGATCGAGAGAAAAATGCACTGAGATTTGATACAATTTCTCTTAGAACACGCGTTATTAACAATCAAAGAACACTCAATGGGCTAATAGATCGAAAAAATGTCCCTGAAGTTTTTTGCGAACACTGTAATCTGATGTTTATATGCTATTTTATTAGAAAAAGTTCACTTAATAATAAATTATTATGAATTGTTATGTTCGATTAATTTAAATCTGAATCAACATGTTGAATAGGATACAATATATGATTAGATAACTATAATTACAGAAAAATGTTTCCGATCAAGTGTCTTACTTGTATTTACATGTTGAACGAACGTTTTCACCGAAACTGATTGGTATACGTTGTGTATTGCTCAAATCACATTCGCCAGTTGATAGTGGCTGAATAATTGAAAATTGCGAAGAGCTTACTGTTCTATGAAAACAAGACAAATTTTCTTTTTTTTTTGATAATAACATGAAATGATAATTGAATTCATACAAGACTTGACTTTCATTTTTGATACCCGCCATAATATTAGCACCTTGAAGATAACCTGGATTACGTATTGTACTTGATGATGATGATGATGATGATGATGAATCAGACTGAAAACAAAATCGTATTAAAGATTTTTTTATAATTAAATTTAACTTTTACTTGAATAAATTGAACAGTAAATGTTTGTTCAAATGTTGTATCGTTCGCTGCGTTCACAATCTCAGGAGTAGCACTTATATTTAGTATTCCAGTTGGATTTGAATAGACAATTTGAATAGTTAACTAGAAAAAAAAAATTCTAATGTCAATTAGTGATACATCTTTATAATCATACACTTTTAAGAGCACCTGAACAAGTACCTCCGGCAAAATTTGCCGGAACAATACTTGTATTATCCCAAGCGCATTTTGAACTATCTGTGGAAAATACAAATCATTATTTGTGAAGCATGAAATATGAAAAAGAAAATACCAATGGGTATGGAAGGAGACTAAAACAAAATAAAAATCATGATATAGAAGATAAATAAAGTTAATTATATTTTCTATTTACTTTAATAAGACAGAGAGGATTCATATACGTCGAAGGATTAAGAGATCCATTACATATATCTGCAGTCACTAATCGACTGCATGTTGATGTAAAATCATTCATATAAGCTAGATGATACGAAGAAAAAACCAACATAATAATCAAATACATATTAAATCATAATATAATACATACTGATCGATTGCGATCCAGAACAAAATGGATTATTGAATAGTTTCACTGGCAGAGAATAATAAATAGATGCTTGTCTTGCAGTGCTATATGTCAGTATCGACGTACCGACCTAGAAAAAGATTAATTTTTCTCAGGAACAAACTTGATAAAAAACTCCAAGTAGTAGCGTAACACCAAGGAAGACTGAGCTCCATTCTCATCACTGATCGAAAACACAATAGTTAAACTTTGTCACAAATCTCTGTAATAGACAGAGCTCAGTTATCTGAGCCCTCCGTCCTATACACTGGCAAAAATTTGGATTATGCCACTAACTCTGAGAAGAAAAGCTGCAACCATGGGTAGTGCATCAGCAATGCACAAGGTAGTAATGCTTTCCTAGAACATTCCATGCCTTCAGTTTATACTGGAATTAGACTATTTAATTCAGTATACATACGTATTCAAAATAAGTCTTTAGTTCATGTAGGAGCATAGATCTGTAGTCTAAAAATGTTATTTATTATAATCCTAATGGATACACTTCCCATCTTATACAGTAGATGCCAAAATACTTCAACAAGATTTGTTTTCAATTTTTTTCTGCTGTAGTAAGCGCTCAAAAGAACTCGAATAATGATTTGCATAGAGAAAATGGTTTCCGACAAAAATTTAAGGAAAACAATATTATTATCAGATTCTTAAGTTTTGACTTTAAACTTTGCACGAAGAAAGTTCTCAATAAGATTAGTTCCTTGGATAAGTTGTAACGTTTCTAGTATCTTCTATCATGAGATATTCAATATTTTTGAAATTCTCTCGTGTAAAAGTAAATTTTGTTTATATATTTATATTTTCAGAAAAGAAATACTAAAAAAGCTAAAACTTACAAAATCAACTAATCTTATTGAGATTTATGTTAGTACAGATTTTGAGGTCGAAAATAGTTTTTATACGTGAGTTGAGACGAACCACAGCTTTTTGCTGAAAAATTTGGATATCTCAATAATGAACACCTGGAAAAACAAACTATTCTAGGCTTTTCTTTTACTCTCTAGAACTCATCAAATAAACATCGTCTCAGTCGATAAGCAATTTGAAAGCAAAAGATGTTTCTTCGTTAGATGACATCTTTATATGAGCAATCACCGAAAATTTTGTATGCATTTATCTTCAGCATTTCTAGTGTAGGCTCATTTTAAAAAAGTTCTATAAAGTTTTAATAACTTAAAACTTATGTTTACTTCATAATAAGTAAGATTAGTTGGTAAACCAGATGGTGCTGTTACACTATTTTCTTTATTAATTGTCCGTACAAAGGAACCTGGATCTAATGTTTGAACTTTTGGTTGTTGATAATATTGGCCTCCACTATCTAAATTCAATGTCAAAATATTTTTATCGAAGCAAAATTTACAAAAAAAAAAACTATAACAAACATCGTTGAAAATCCACACAAACAAGTTCGCCCATTTTTTGAATAATATATGGCGAATTCGATTGAAATATGGATATATTTTTATAACATGACGGTTGAACAGTAGATATGATTGGTGTTGTACTAAATAAAGTGAATATTTCGATTTTTTGAAATCAAAACAAAACATTAATGCTCAAACAAAAGTTCGATATCAGTTTGTATAAAAAAATTTCAGTAAAACATCTTCCTTAAGTTGAACTCGTTAGCATATCTTGAAAGAAATGTATTGACATAGAAACGTTTGTCATATTTAAAAGCGAATTATTCGTTAATATTTACGACAGGAAAATAAAAATAGTAGGCTACGTATGACGGAAGCAATATTTTATTCAGATTTTCTTTTCTGCAGAGTTGATTTACAACTCTGAGAAGGTAAACATCTATTTTTAGGCGCACAGACACAGTACGAGATACAATAACCATAAACTCTAGAAAAACAAGCTCGATTTTCGAAGGCAATTAATTTCTATTACGAAACTAATATCGAAAAATATGTCTTTGAAACAAAAGAATTCCGTCTCGACAATGAAAATTACAAATGCGTAACTACTTCTCTTTAAGTTGATTCTCCTTTAACTTTATTAATTTTTTTTATTGCTTCTATACACCGTTCTATCTTTAAAAGTTTTTCATACATCAAGCCTTCATTCATTTTTTTATAGAATATCTTTTTAACATTCGATCTATTGTCTAACAACGTATTAATTATAAAATAATTCTCTATTGGTCTCAAAATGCAAATCTATCGTTTCAGTAGCACTTACGAAGGAATTTCTTTAAATGTACGTATTCTGATTTCAATAATTTTTTGTCTATAGATACCACATAGTATTCTAATAAAAACACTAAAAGAATTTGGGTTCCTATTGAGATTCGACTAAGCTATCGAATTATTTTCCATAGACCCTAGATTTTTGAAAAACTCATATTTTCGAATTTTGACCTGAAACTTCATACATATAGAGAACAGAAATAGACTATCTTCGATAAAAAATTTCAGAAGTTTTGTATAAGTCTTTTCGAGATATAAAGCTTTCAAAAAAATGCATATTGCATACACTATCCATGGATAAATATCTATAGTTTGAAAGCTTCACATGTCGAAGAGGTTTTGTTCAAAGCTTCTGAATTTTTTTATGAAAGTTAGTCTTGCTGCGTTCTCTATATGCACAAAGTTTCAAATCAAAATACGAGTTTTTCGAAAATCTGGGACTTCTAGAAGCCAAACCCTTTTAGGGTTTACATTAGAATACTATGTAGTGTTTATAGGCAAAAAATTATTCAAACCGGAGAGGAGATAGCTAAAACGATACTCTTGTTAGGCTTTAAATGATGATAAATAAATAATCTAATTTTTAATTCATTGCACTTATTTAAAAATTATTAATCTATTCTGTTCGATTCTTGGATTATGTATTAGCATTAAAAAAAATGGTTTTTGTCTCAAAAACAAGCTTTTATCATTCGATTCAAGATGATTTCTTCGTTGCATGTGACATCAATATTTAATCTATCTATTCAATTTACTTTGTATACTGATTGCCTCTTGAAGAACATGAAAATGCTTGTTTATCATCTAACGTACAATCAGGATCACAACAACATGATACATCACATTTATTTGCAGTTAAATCACACGTACATGTTCCAATATCTAAAAAAAGTAATTGATAAAAAAATAACTAAAAAGTAAATATGTATTATCTACCTGTATTAACTGAAAATGTTTGAAATTGTACAGTTACACTTTGACAATAAACTGTCGTAGTGAATAATACAAAGATAAAACTAATAAGAGTAAACATCTAGAATTTAATTGACAATAAATAAAAATAAAATCGTTTATTTTTATTTTTATTAAAAATTAAAAAAATGAAAGAAAAAGATTTTATGCTCTACAATCAAAGAAAAAAAAAACATTGATTCAATAAATAGAAAATAAAAAATAATTAAACATACGCTTTTAATGAAAGTTGTTCCATTTTTTCATTTTGTTCACGTTCAGTTTTTTGCAGTGATTCATATTCTGCTCGAAGTCTATCAAATATATATTGTTAGTAAGAAATCAATCAATAATAATAATAAAGAAGATTATATTACCGCTCAAGTTCAACTACTTTTTCTTTGATTAATGATTGTAATTGTTGTTTTTCAAATTCACGATATTTCGCTGCAGATTTCAACATATTTTTTGCTCCGATTGACTGAAATGTTAATTATAAAGAAAATAACTGAGATAAATAATCAAGTACAGATAGATGCAAAAAAAGATTTAGAATCATTCATGAAACTTTTTTTCATAGGTTATGGAAATTTTCAAAAGTATACAAACTTCCTTCTCTAGAAATGCAATAAGGAGCTAGTTCAAATATTAGAATGAGAGGTTATTCATATATGGTCTCTTGTCGTATGTCTACGTCTGTTACAGTCTATGATGGTCTCTGGTTAGCGTCTGTTATGGTCTATGAAAAAGTGAGAGGGTGGGATTGAGGGCTCAACAAGAAGAAAGTCATAATCTCTCATTCTAACCATCACTCTGCTGCGAAGTATTAGTATGAATACTGAATTTGTAATAGAAATATTTTTATAAAAGCTTGGAAATCTGAAAACTTTTATCAAGGATAAAAATTAAGTGTATAGTTTCAAAAATATTTTTATACAATTCATTTGCAACGATTTTTAATTGCAAACCAATTAATCATTTATAGAGTACTCTATTATTTTGCAACTTCTATTGAATTTACACAAAACTTCGTTCAATAAGAAAAGTTATCCTGTTACTCGTCTATGGAAAATTTTATAGCGTAATTACAAGACGTTATTACTATGCCAAAGAAAAATTCTATCCTATGTATAAAGACGGATAGGGATGCTTTTCTAACATCTTCTAATGTCACCAAACAGTTCACACCTGGTGATCGATCGCAGTCAAAAAATTAAATTCTACTCCGAGAGAGAGAAGTTATCAGAAGATTTATGTTTTATATAAAAAAAAAGGAAACTTATCGAGTTCTTTACTAAACAATATTATTTCAAATAGAACATAGTTTCTCCTTGAAATATTCAGAAAAAACTTCTTTTCTTGTGTTATAAACACTGTATTGAATTCTTTTACACTGAACTAATTATTTTCATATTACACCAAAGTCTTCATTGTAATCAAAAGTGGAAAATGGAGAAGATCCAACAAGTAATTTGAATAAAAAAAAAACTTGTTACTGAAGTTGCAGAAGAGTTTCCTGATAGTTTTTGTTCTAAAGCGTTTTTTCTTTGACCTTCAAAAAACCTTTTCGATCGAATTCTTCTATATTAGACATTTAGCGCTATCTAACAAAAAAAGAACGATGAAATATCTACGATGTTGTATTGTAATACTATATAAAAGAAAACTTAATACAGAGCTTTTGTCTTTTTCAACAGAATACACAAGAAAACTCACTTTAAGCCTTGCTGCTTCAACTTGTTTTGAATATTCTTCAGTTTTTTCAATTAATGTATCAACGATTTTTTTGAATTCGAGTACATCTTAAGAAATAAATTAGAAATTAGTTTATAAAATCAAACATTTATTGTTTACTATCAGTAAAATCTTTGCATTCATCACGTAATTCAGCTGAATCTGTCACTCGTTCAGGATCAATTAAACGAATTTTATTTTCATCATCAATAAATAAACCAAAGTTAGAGAATGCTTCTTCAACCATGATTATTTCTTGAAAAGATCAATGAATAATAGCGAATTTCATCGATGAGCAGCTTTGTTAAACATTACCTAGCAACATTAAGAAATTAGACTATTATAAAAAAAATAATATTCTTTAGAATATTTCTCGATTTGAAACCATAAAATAGAGAATATGAATAACATTTTGACCTAAATTTTCAGTTTCATATTATAGATGTCACTGTTGACAAGGTGAGTGTCGCATTTAATTCTTTTGTGAAATGATAACTTCTTCATTGATATTTCTAGTGATGTTCAACATGTTTTAAATATATTTTTGTATGAATATAATAAAAAATAAAACGTTATTTAAATATGACTAGTACAAAAATCTTTAAGTACATGCAATTTGTATAATAGTTAAATCATTATAGTAGACCAAGAATTAATTAAAAAACAAAAAGAATCCGAAAAAATGAAATCACATAGAATCGATTATATTATCGATTCTATGTGATTTCATTTTTTCATTATCTGGCCATAAAGTTACAATTACGCGTGCTATTCTAGAAGCAGTTGAAAAACCATAAAGAAACCATTAGAAGTACTTGATCGAGTTGCCTACATTGGTAATATTTTTCTAACAGGAAAATTAGTAAATTAATTGTGTTTCTATTTGATTTTCTTGATTGTTTTCAATGCGTCTGTTTTTATTTTTGTAAACATAAATACAACAAAATCATGGTGCTTTCTATTGTAAACGAAAAAGTTTTAGTATCAATTATGACATACGGTTAATATGGTNACCCATCGCGACTTTCGTAAAAGACTTTTCCTATCATAGTCAATTAAAACCCCAACTACTATATACCATTCGATAGAAAATTTCAAGTACTACAAAATGATATATAAAACATAAAGAACCAAGAACGTTGACTAACCTATGACAAAGATAATTAAAGATAACTAGGTTATATTTTGGTCCACAATCTAATTGATCCACAAATAAAGCTTTATCTTCCGATTACACTGATGATATTTCGAGGTTTTGAGGTATGGAGAACTCGAATGTGTACTGCACTTCCATCGGAATACTATTAGTTGTTTGGTGACCAATAGAAATGAAGTTCTAGGAAAAACGACTTTCTTAGAGTAAATCAAGGTGCAGAGTTCAAAGTTGAGCTTATTTCGGTCCGATATCCTATTTGTTTGTCAACGCGCAATATAAATCAAGATTTTAAATGGTCGTTTTCACAGTATAATTTTGATATTTTCGATAGTCTAGGATGATTGATTTGTATGATTCACTTTTCTTCAGTACACATAACTCTCGGATTTAAATCCGAAGTTTCCGCATTTATTTTTTGTACGAATAAATTTTGTTTCTATCCTGTTTAAGAAAAATTCTTTCCAAAAAATCTAATTCGTATTCTATTACAAGGTCTCCTAGTGGAACATTCATTTTCTTTAACGAATATCCATAATAATGTGGATTCAATTTTCATATTGTAGAGAAAAAAAAATGTTAAGAACTAAAATTTCGTTGTTTTAATTATTTAGATGATCATGACTATAGTTTCCATTTTATTGATTCTCTTTTCAATGTCTATTATAAAAATCTTCAACTATTTAGTCTTATCTGAATTGACAAAAATGTTCATTCCGAATAAAATCAGCATAAACAAAAAAAAAACTACGTTCTATCATTAATTAACTTAAAACATTTGAAGATAAGAAAAGAATGTAAACAATATATAGAACAAAGATCAGAATATAATCAAATCACTTGGATTAATAAGTGATATTTTAATATTCATAAACTTCGGCAAGTTTCAACAATTTATATTAATTTCACAGACAAAAAGTATAATAAACAATCGACAAAGAAATTCGTTAAGGTAAAAATGTTCTTTAAATTTTCAATATTGTTGATTTAGATGACGAGAATTTCTGGTAAATAGAACGAATTGGTTTCTCAAATTAGAATAGACCATAAAAAAAAAGAGATGAAAATGCAAGAATCACTAATAATTATTATTTATACTACCTATGGTGATACAGGAAAAATTATAGCAGAAATCGATGATAAATTCGCTGTTTTTCTCAATCACTAATTGATTGTCTTCTTCGATTGAGACCTAATGAGAAAGAGATCGAAAAGAATTTATTTCTTATTGTGACAAATCATACGATGACAATCGTGCCGAACTCGACAAAATACGTGAGTTTAAACAATAATTACAGATCCGATAAAGACTTTTTGGTGATACTCTCCTGATTCGTTCGTTCTGCAAGACTCTAAATGCTTCTCTAAACAAACAGGATATTCACATGATTTTCTTTTATCATTCATACATTGTCGATATATGTGATCAATTGAATTAGCATCAATCTAGGGACTCTGTTCGAGTTTATTGCAGTCAGTTAATGTCAATCGATGAATTACTGTAGATTATTTTAAACAAAATATTGGTCAATTTATTTCTGTAAATTTATTTATTTCGACCACTAAGAAACTTGAAGTAACTGATCTATATATAACATATAGAAGCGATCAGAATGATTTATATTCGATATTGATACAGATCCCAAGTTAAACTCGATGAAATTGTTTGCTCACATTAGTATTATTAAACCCCCTCCTGCATTAGAAGACCCCCCCACATTAGTAGACCCTCCCATAATACAAGACCCCCCTGGACAAAAATTTCATCAGGTGTAATAGAAGACTCCCCTTTAATTAATTAATTTTTTGCTAATTAGGAACTTTAATTAGGGAATTTTCGTCCAGAAGTGCACAGTTTTTAGGTTTTCTAGCTGGGAATATTTAGACAGTGGGTTCAAATGTATCCCTCAACCCTCAAAACCGTGAAAATCGCTCTGGCTTTCTGGAAAACCACATTTAGTTAATAATTGCTAAAAAACCTAGGATATAATAGAAGACCCCCCTGAGAAATTTTTACGACGAGACATAATAGAAGACCCGGGGTCTTTTAATGCAGGGAGGGGTTTAGTATTTTTCTTTCCTATTACAATTTTATACATAATTTGGTATAGTTGATGGATGGTTATAGTTTGAAATTTCTTTTTACAATCTGAGCAGTTGTAGACATTGGGTAACTATTTTTGAATGTAGCTTAT